GGGGGGGGCTCCAGCAGTTCATTCTCAGCACTCCAGAGCTTAGCAGAGCTGTTGCCCAGGAAGTCAGCATTCTGAGGTGGTGTCCCCTGTGAAGATACGGACACTGCAGAGAGAGAGTGAGTCTCATGACAAGACAAATGAGTGGTAGCAAAGCCTTCAAGCTAACTTATGTTATTGGCCAGGCTTGTTTTTGTCACTTGTCAGTCTCCGTTTTACATACCCTTGTATGCTGGGTACCACCGTTTAAGTACTCAGCTACTAACCAGCCAGAAGATTGGAGGTTTGAACCCACCCTAGGTGCCGTGGACAGGTCTGGTGCTCTGCTTGCAGGTCAGCAGTCACAGTTCCACTCTTGCTCACGTGGGTCACTCACTACCAGAGAGTGACCTGCAGAGAGAGGCCTTTTCTCACCTTTCTCAGAACGGGAGGGGGGCAGGCAAGAGTCACTATCTACTCTGCATGGCTCTCTCTGTCCTCTGGAGTTTTCTTCACTTCCAGGGGGCGGGGTCATTCTCCTGGAGCAGCATGGCCCAAGAGGAAGCAAATGTTAAGCTCTCTGGGAAATCTGGCCTCAGCACCGGGGCATCTATTTTGAAAGCCTGCTTCTGCACTCTCCTGGGCCATCACCAAGGCCCGGGCTTCCTCTCCTCCTGCAGTGCCACCAAGAGGATCCTCCATGGGCTCAGCCTGCCCAGCAGCCCCGGGGCCCTGCGTCTTTCAGTCCAATAGCCACCGTGCTGCCGGGAACTTCATGCCCTGCACCGTGGGGGGTGGTTCAGATATAAGATGTTTGGAATGGGCTGTATCCGCTGATTAGCACGAACAAACATTAGGCATGAACTTGGGATCCACTTTCAGAGTTGCCACCCCCGGCCATAATTTAAGCCCTTGCTTGGGCTACTAGCCAGAAGTGTCTTGCAGGCAAGTTGGGTGATGTGCTCCCCAAAAGTCACCTCCTGGAGAACCCTATGGGGACCCAGGGGGGGTAGACCACCCTACCTATCCTGGCAGGACTTAGGTTAAGTAGTCATAGTAGTGCATGACAGGTGGGCAGGAGAGTCTGTTAAGGCCTAACCTTGACCCTTGGCCTGATTACTAACTCGGTAGTCTTACAGGGATGAGGGAAAGGGGATGGATGAAAGCACTGGTGCTTTGGGCGGTCAGTTAAGGAATCATTTAAGCCGATTTAGTTCTAAGTGGACGCTGTTGGATGATCATGAAAGAGGTAGGTACAAGGGCAGGATGCAGAATCTTAAAGGAATCTCACTGATGTCTGACTTCATGCTGAAGCAGTGGGGCAATCGTGGTGGCCATGGTGGGATGGTCTCCATCCAGCTGTGGGTGTAGAACTGGGTGGAGGAAACTCAGACCCCTATGCAAGGCCCTGTGGCTCAGGGCTGGTGCTGAGTGGCATCCAGCGAGCAGCAGCTGGGTGAGGACACTGCATTTGCCCACTGTGCCAGGAGGTTTGACACATTTTGGAACAGAGCCAAGTTGTGAAGATTCCGTCATGCAGCTGGGGCCACAGGGAGGTGGTGAAGGGTCAGGAGAGCTGGGAAAGGAGGTGGAAGAAGAGTCCTAGGAGGGAGGTATCTCGGAGACTGCAGGCCGTAGACAAACATGCAGCAGTGCAGACATTGGAGTAAGTTCTTGGAAGAAAGCCTTTATTTTCCTGGGAAAGAATCTGTTCTATGTCAACAGGTTCCTTCTTCAGGCAGCGGGGCTGGAACAGCAAGGGACACACTTGCTCTGCAGGCTGGCCTTTGGTCGTTTTATGATCCTTGCACAGTGGCTCATCTTTTGACATCCAAGGGGGGGGGGGGGATCTCGGGCAGAATCTCAAGGGATGTCCCTGAGCTGACTTAGAGAAACAGTGAGCATTCACCCGTGAAGCATACACCTCAGAACCCATCCATACAACCCCCCAGGCGCTGTCTCCGGAGAGCCGGTTCCTCGTGGGCGCAGCTCAGGTAGTTCCCACCACCCGTGCGGTCGGCTGGTCATGCAGAGGATGACCTTCACACCACAAGCAGGGAACAAGAAGCCACAGAAAAGGTAAGGGACTACCCTCTCCAGGGCCACAGTTATATCTAAGGAGATTCAGTAAGCGGACCACACCTTTCCCAGTTCTAAGAGCAGAGGGGTCGCCCTGGTGAAGATCACCGAGCCTGGCTCTCAGTGATGGAAGCACAGGAGACGGTTTCTAAAAGAGAAGCATGATTTAAGTGCAACTACTTTTTGTAACTTCTCTCAGTGACAGCCATTGGATGATTCGACTGTCACATGGCCAAACCCGACGTTCAGCACTAACTGGTAGGGAAGAGATTTAGAGTTGCAAAGACAGTGCACAATGAAGCGTTCTTAGAGGATTAACTAGAATCCCTTAGCAAAACCAACCAGCCGACGGCCCAACGAAGGGGTGGGCACCTAAGTGAACACAAAGCTGCCAAACAGCGTTTTCTTGAGAAAGGGACTTTCCCTCCCACGGCTCATTTTATTTTCAGATGGAAGCAGTAAAAATGAAAACAGAGCCCCTAACCACTTCAGCTTCGATTAAACTGTATAATCATAGCTTCTGAAATTGGTGCCAAAATTACGGTCACTTGTTATGGGGAAAACCGCATCTATTTTACTATTCTCTGACAAACCGTGCAAATACCTACCGTGCAGATGTTAAAACTGGATCAGGTGGTGACACCAGAGATTTAAAATCATTTCCAAAGGTGCGATGACAACCTAAGTCAATCACGAACTACGTTCCTTCACACTGCCCACCCGCTAGCCCACCTTTGTTCACTAGATGTCCATGTTGCTATGGAGCTGGGACAGAAGAAAGGGAGGGGCTGCCCCATCGCCCTTGTGCTTGCTAAGTGCTGGGATTACAACTTGAGCTTAAAGCTAATTGTAACGGTCATGTGGACCCTCAAAGGCTACCCGTTTCAATTCTCATATATAAACTTATTACGCTGTAGACGGACAGACATCCTTACTACCTACATCATCAAGGGGCAAGTGTAAAAATGCAAATGTAAATTCTAGAAGAACAATGTTTTCCTAAAAACTGCAGAGAGACTACGACCCCATCTTTGTCTAGCATGGTCGTTAAAACAGATGGTAGCCGCGACTTCACTAGTCTCCAGGTTTGCCTGAGAAGCCCAGTTCCCACGGCCTGCCTGCCAGGGTCCGACTCCCCTGCGCTGCTAACTATAGAGAGCGCAGCAGAGCCAAGGTTCAGCAGTGCCGAGAACTGAAGTCCAGCTGGAGGCCCAGGCTCTCAGGCATGTGCAGGCCTCATGTTCCCTGATGAAGTCTTTCCTTCTTAGGAGGTATAACAGGCAAGGCAGGCTCTTGTCAGAAGACTAGGAAAAGTCTGAATGTGGAGGTGCCACAGCCTCACCACTAACCATCTTGGGGGAGTACCAAGATTGGCAAAATGACTCCGCATGCTAATAGTTGCAGAAATCAGCGGTTTTCAACGGGGTAAGTGCCAAGAAAGAAAAGGCTCTAACAAGCTTTGAAAATGGAAACAATACCCCTTTTTTTCTGGTTCAGCTGAAACACAGTTGCTTTCTTCCATCAAAAGCAGTGGAGGAAAGTGGGGGTGGGGGGATCCCCGGACATGGAGGCTGAAGGCCCAGTGAGGCCTGGTGGAGGGCACTTGGTGGAAAATGCAGTTTCTAATTTCAACTGACTCTCAAATGCTCGGGGGCTGGGGGTTTCCAGGCCCACAAACTTGAAAAACAAGCCACAACATCCACAATAGAATATAAGCTTTTTTAATTTTTATAAATAACTTATCTGTTACAAAGATAGTTTACCCCGCTAAATCACAAAACCATCAACTCAGGATACCCAGATTACATTTTATTAATAAAACAAGTAAGAACTGACTCATCAATCTTCACATAGAACTGCAGATGAAGCGGAAAACAAGGCCTGGGTTTAAAACAAAACGCATCCAATGCAGGGCTTCAGGTCTAGTGTCTATTAACCAGAACTGCCCTAGCCCCCCCCCCACCCCCCGGAGACAGACACGCAGTGCCTGGCGGGCAGGGCTTTGGCCCCCTCCGAGCTCCTGGTACCAATTCTGCGCACTCCACCCCCACCCCCACTGGCACCCACAAACAGAGGGCGGTGGGCCGGCTACGTGGTCTCCTACCTTTTGTTACATCTTAGCACTTCCCTTAGCCCCATTTCTAAGCATGGACACTATAATTTCTTAATTCTGTCTTTGTAAAGGCATACTGTGATTTCTTTCCTTTGATTTCATTTTGTTATATACATTCCTGATCATCGGAATATTTATTCTCCTTATAAAAATATATCATCACACTAGAGAGATGCTTGAGGTTGCTTCAGTGTTCAAGTTTGCTTGATTTTCTTTTTTCCAGCTTTCTTCCGATGTCCTCCACACGACCAGCCTTGCTTACAGACACGCCGCGTGTGGCTCGGGCACCCCAGCGAGGGCCGGAGTGCGGTGCCGTGCTGGTCAGAAGCTGTCCTGCCCCACCATCATCTTCATCTCTTGTGAAAGTTCTGGGGGTCAGTGGGCAGATGAAGCAAGCTCGGCCTGGCGCTGTCAGGGGCTAAGAGACCGTGGGTCTGAGCTTCCTATGGAAGCCATGCACTGCGCACCGGCCGCGAGGCCGCGTGGGTGAGAGCGACTGGCACCTCCTGCGCAGCATCTGCCCGTCGGAGGGCAAGGACAGAAGGAGGCGAGGCGAGGAGAGGAGAGGGAGGGCGTGCATAGTTTCATCTCATTAATGCTTTTTTATTTTAAGGCATTGCTTCTCTCAGGTAAGGCGTAAAAGGGGACATGATCGTGCTTAATCACTAAAAGGGAAAAAGAACATTAGTTAACAAAAGACTATTACGCTATACATATAGAAATATAAGAAAACAATAAAGGAGCCAAGAAATCACTGAAAGCAGACTTGAGCGATCTGTGGCATCAGGAAAGCTCAGACGTCTCACTGCACGCTGCCGCCGGCCGCACGCGTGCTGCTCTCCTCTTCTGTGGCCTCTCCAAGCGGGTTGCCAGGGTGAGGACGCTGCCAGGGGCGACGAGGACAAGGCCCAGAGCACCACAGGGCTGGGACCTTCGTCCCGTGTCCACTGGTTGGCACTAGGTGGCGGCAGACAGTTTAAATAGGTAAACCTTGTCCCTTTGCCTCGCGTTTGTAGTGTTTCACTGAAAGCTTTAGAAAATAATAACAATAAAAAAGCGACCTTTCTACTAGCTTCCTCCTGTCAGGATTCAGTAGAGACGTGAGGGGACAAGGTAGTGGGCACCCCCAAGCATGACCACACCGAGGATTCTCCGTGTGGGACACTGCTAACACTGCACCCGGCAGGCGGGTGGGTGGTGGTGGGCAGCCCCATCCTCCGGGGCCACCTTTCCCGCGGTGGAGCTCACTGCCCACGACCTTCTGCTGAGGTGTCACCAGCTTGCACTCCACCGCACTGTCACACCTCAGCTCTGACAGAACCCTTGGTAGCAGTGAAACCTGCCCCTGGGGAGAGACCAGATTCTTGAAGTCCAGATGTGGAGTGAGAGGAGACAGAGGGCCTGTGGCTCAGAAATGCCGGGGCATCTCACACTGTTCACAGCGGATTAAAGCTGGATGGTTCAAAAAGGTGCAGGCAGTGCAGTTCCACTGCGCGCCCTCGTCCTCTTCGGTGTCTGCGTTCTTTGGTGCTTTGATGGTGGACCGCTGATCTGTCAACAAGCGAAAAGCAAAACAAGAGGACTTCAGAAGCCCGAAGGACCAAGTGTCCTGGGACAACAGTCCCATGGTGCTGTACACCCTAGTTGGACCCACAGGCCAAGGCAGCTTATGATTAACCGAAGGGAGACCTGAGCCGACAGGGACACACGCTTGCCTGTCGCCAGCCTCTGCTAAGCTGGTGGCACCTTTCCTCTGGGGCCTGCCCACCCACAAGAATCACTGCCACCTAGTTCACTCTGACGCACAGCCACCCTCTAGAGCAGCGGTTCTCCACCGTCCTCATGCTGCCACCCTGTGGCACAGTTAAACGCTGGCACCACCCCAGCGACAGAGTAACCGAGGAAGACTTTTTTTGTTTTTAATTGAAATGAAATGGTTTTCTAGTGTCTCATTTCATACTTATGACATTTTTATTGGAAGTGTTTGGAGGACTAAATACCAACCAGAACTGAGGGAAGGAGGCTGGCTGCCAAGAGATTTTTATGTGCCATTTTAGGGGGAGAGAAAGAGGCAGGGAGAAGAAGTGATGCCAAGAGCTAATTGAATGACTCCCCGGAAATGAATGGAAGGTCTCTTGATCTCAGTCTCCAGGCAAAACAAGTGATTTCTTATTTACTAAAACATACAGCATACACGCTTCTCCGGTGAAAAAGCAGCTGGGACTGTTTTCCCCCTTCGTACTATTACTTACATACAACTATTCATTGAAAATTACCCCCCCCCAAATGTCATCATCATTTGCTTAAACATTTTCAAGAAGACATTGTTTTGTCCTTGATAATCTTTTCCACCAGGATTTGCTGTTTGGGGGCGCTGGTCATGACACCGAGGGACACACAGAACAAACTCACCCAAGGTCGTCACAGTCAAAAGTGGCTATTTATAAACATTTCTAAAACCTCATGTAAAAAAGGTCAGCTTGGACATTTAATGGATACACTACCTTTGGGTTTTGGTGGCACAGGACCAACAAATCCAATGTTGTCATAAAAGTTATGAATGGCGCTGGGATTAAAATGTGGTCCTGAAATACATACAGAAACAGCACATCAATGGTTACTGCTCAGAAAGTTTTCAGTTTTAAACAGCAAGCACTGCTCCCTAAAAGGGGCCCATGTAAGACGGCGGGGAGGTGACTTGTAACAGGCAGGCAGTGCGTGGAGCAGTGAGGCTACTGGCTGGGAGAAGACAGTAATGGAACCTGAGTCCTGCTCCATGTAGCAAGGAAACTTACAACTGAACAATTTAACACACATTTTAATGGTCACACAGGGACTTATTAATTAGGGGCATTTTTTTCTATCAATTCTTCAGGATAAAGAGTTTACCAACATTTAGAAGGAAATAAAATCACTCATCTTTGAATTTAGTGGATTCTGTAAAACACTCAGAACTGTGACCAACGACTTCTTTTTGGCTAGCCTCCTCCTCTCCCTGCCCTTTTCATTTTATGGACCCCAGTATTCCCCGACTCCCTTGTTCAAATCATAAAATTTCCTCATGGCAAGTCTATACTATTGAATTATAAATATCTGTTTTACTATATTTAAGGAATTACGGCCTGTCACTAGTATCTCAAGTGTAAAAAATTGTCAGTGCCCTAAAAACATGGATGCCATATTTACAATCACTTCCTTCTGTATTTATCAGAGACAGCCATGGAAGTGGCGGTGCCTTTGAAATCCTGTTCTATAAAGCACGTTTCCCGAAAGGCCAAAAAAAAGAGAAAAGAAAAACGGTATAAAGTATATGTTCTTTAATCTTAGAAAGTATTCTCTCAGTGGATCCTGACTCAGAGGCACACGAGAACTGCCTTCACGGGCTTTCCAAGGCGGTCGTCTTTCTGGAACATTCTCACAGGGCGCGGCTGGTGGGTCTGAAGTGCTGTCTTTTTGGCCTAGCAGCTGAGCGCTTTACCACTCTGCACCACCAGGGAGCCTCATTCTCCTGACAAGTCGTCTAATACATAGAAGCAATACTGGACTATACAGCCAGAAAGACTAGTCACTGGCTTCATTTAATACATGACTGAAATGAGTACCCGAATGACAGAAAATTAATCAAGCTGCTTTTAACAAAAGACATAATTCTCTTTGGGGGAAAGAGAAAATAAAACCCAAGAGGTCGTTAGCACTATCTGGCTCCAAAGTCAAGCACTGCGAGGTAGCAAGACTTCAACTGACAAGTCTGCTTCTGGCTCCAGGAGCGGCTTCTGGCTGGGTGGCCCCTGGGTCATGCTCGTGCTCACCTCGGGCTTGGAAAAGATCGATCTCTTTGGTCAGGCAGTCAATGTCAATCTGCAGCTGCCGGTTACAGCTTCTCAACTGCTGCATTTCATCGAGCTGCAAACAAAGTCCGTGTTAGCAAGGTCTGCATTCCCCGTTCAGAAAGGGGGAGGGGGGAGCTGGGCAGGAAAGGGTAGGGCAGACCACCAGTGTGTGAGGAAGAGCAGTCTCTCTGCCCCACCACCAGACAGACTCAGCTCAGGCACAGGGGACCCAGGGGGGACTCACGGAAGGTATCTGGGATATGGAATTCGATCTTTTCAGGCGCCTTCGAGTTAGATTATTTTCCATTTCGTTGACCTCGGATTTTAATTTATCCAGCTTTTTCTTTTGGATCTCAAGCTCTCTTTGAAGCCGTTCCATCCGAGCCTTCTGGTGTACCAATAAAGCTGCAATACATATCAAGAAACGTGAGGACCCGCCCAGTGTAGCCCTTGACCTTTCAAAGCATTTTGGCAAAACGAAACCAACAGATGAATAGTTGTGTGACAAATCAGTTACTGAAGAATCCCAAGGCCACACTACAGCAGAATACCCTCACTCTGAACATTCAGAATTTCAACTTAATTACCTGAACAGGAAAAATGCCACTCTCTAATGAAAAAAGAAAACAACAATGTAAGGGTTTGGATAAACCCACTTTAAGGTTGAGGAGAGTGAGCTGACCTGAAAGACAATGACATTTTCCACACACCTTCTTCTCACAGCCCTCACCACGCCCTCTGACTTGCGGAAGCTCTGAAAGAGCAATCCTTAGACCCCAAGGAGTCGTCGGAGGCACTTGCTTTAGGCATGTGGTTTATTAGGAATGCTTCTTAATTTTACAGATATTGGAGAAGGGATACCAAAAAACTGAAACCAAATGCACTGTCATCGAGTTGATAGCTACTCACAGTGACTCTATAGAACAGGGTACAACTGCCCCTGCGTGTTTCTGAAACTGTAACTCTTTCGAGGTGTAGAAAGGCCCATCGAAAGATTCTCCTCTGGAGCAGCTGGTGGTTTAGAACCGTGACCCTTTGGTTCGTAGCCCAACTTGTAACCACTGCACGTTAGAAGGAGCATGGAGCAGGTCAAATCCATTTTGGTGTTTGGAACAAATAAACCCGGTAAACTAATTCAACCCATATAAATAGTAATGTTAAATGGCTCACAACTGCAAAGTAAAAATAATGACACTATTTAGATAAATCAAGCACTTGTATTTTCTTATACTCAGATTACATTTTGTTGAGTTTTAAGGAAACCAGTTCAGCAATCAAATCTGAAGCTTGAGTGGGGAACTGCTTTACTTGGGAAACTGTATGGAACCAAATTGGTCTTGTTTTTTTGATCCATTATTGGGCAGCACGAGCCTTATTTTTTCGGATACTGGACCTAAAGCGACCTCAATAAAGAAAAACAAAAACATCTCTAAAAATGACAGCTTGGGATGATCTACCCTGGCGAACAATAGGCAGATCTGGGTAGTACGACAAGTAACCTGCAAAAGGAGAAAAAAGTCACTAAATGAAAGGCACGGTAGCTGAACAGTCATCTCCCACTATACAGAAATCACTAGGAATCTAAAAAAGTGAAAAAGGCCTTGTTTTGGCAGCATCCTAAAAAATGAGGAAGTTCTTCTAGAAACTGGAATCAAGTGGGAGGTTATTAGGCTCAAGTAGTTCACAATCGACTTCAAAAAGTAGACAATCTCTCGCAATAAAAGGCCGGATGCTAATACCATCCCAGATGTGCACCTCTGCAGTTTTCCTTTTCACGGCCTTTCGGAAGAAATAAGTACTAGGGTATTATTTCGCAAATCTTAGAAACCATGGCCCACTCTGATAAGCCTGAAAACCCAGCTGCCCTTTCTCCACTGTAACACAGTCTGTGAAGGGAGGGCGGTGTCTTATGGAGGAACCCACGTACCTCCTGGGCTCCTCAGTGTGTGCCTTCGTCCACTCCTACCAACCAGGACCTTTTCATCAGGCTTTTCTTAACACTGTCTCTTTGAACTGCAAGTTTTAGAACTTTCTTCCCAGAATATGTGATTCTGCACTCAACCCGCCGCCATGGAGTTGATTCCAACTCACCGCACTCTCTCAAAGTGTATTTATGCTCCGAAAAGAAGCTGGAGGAGGTGGGCTGCTACTTTTTGAGGGGGACAGAGCAGAACGACTCCATCTTTCTCCTGAGGGGCGGTTGGTGGGTCTGAACTGATCACGTGGTTAGTAGCTCACCATGTAATGCTCTAGACCAGTAGGGCTGCTGACAGATCTAAAACACATACACCCAGAAGGAGACACCAGAGAGAATGGGGAAGTAAAATTTGAAGACATACTAAGAATTTCTCAAAATTGAAGAAGAAAAAACAAACAACTCAGTAATATTCAGAAACAATAAGTGAAAATAATCTAACCAAACTAAATTATCAAAGAGGATAAATGAATAAAGACATTTTCAGACAAAGTTTGGGGGAGTTTACCAACTATAAAGCAACTGCTAAAAAGAAGTTTTTTGATATGGGGGAATTTAAACCTATTACACAGCCACGGACTCAAAACAGACTGCTACTGGTACAATGATAGGTACATAGAACAATGGAACAGAATAGAAAACCCAGACATAAATTCGATCCTCTACAAGCAGATAAATACAAGCACTACAGCCTTCAAAATGAATTACAACTCAATGCAAATAAGACCCCAATCCCCACAACTAGACCAATAGATCACATCATGATAAACGGAGAAAAGTTTGAAGTGGTCAAGAGTGATTTTGTCTTGCTTGTATCAATAATCACCATTCATAAAAAGAGCAGTCAAGAGACCAAACGATGCATTTGCATTGGGTAAATCTGCTGCCAGAGACCTCTTTCAAGTATTGAAATACAAGGATGCTACTTTGAAGACTCAGGTATGCTTAACCTAAGTCATGGTATTTTCGATTGCCTCATATGCCCGCGAAAGTTGGGCACTGAGTAAGGAAGACGGAAGAACTGGTGTGTTTGAATTATGGTGCTGGTGATGAACACAGAACTGCCAAAAGGAAAAACAAATCAGTGTTGGAAGAGGCGCAGCCAGAATGCTCCTTTGATACAGGAAGGACGATGCGGGGCCGGGCGGAGTTTCCTTCTGTTGGAATCGTGGGGTGGCTATGAGTTGGCATCAACTTAATGGTACCGAGCAATAGCAAGAAGCGACACAACCAACAAGCGACGAGTCCATAAAATCTATGACTACTGCAAGACCTCAATAAAGAAAAAAAAAATCCAATTAAAAAGTGGGCAAAAGACAATAAGGAATTTAAATACAAAATTAGCAGGGTTAACAATTTTTAAAAAGGCTCTGGCGATAAAAAAAAGACTATGGCAGGGAAAGGGGTTAAAATCAGGTAAACCTTATAGTTGAAAAGAATGACAAGGAATTGGAAGTGTGAAGTTCAGAAAGGTGAGTCATCCCCCTGCCCCTTGGGGGGAGGGCCCCCAATTTCACTCACCCATTCATATTATGATTTGGATGGAAGTTTACACAGCAAACATGTTTTCCATTCAGCAATTCCAATTCTTTATTCATCACACTCATTTTGTGACATTGTGTGCCCCCACAATGTAAACAGCATTCTACCCACTCAGTCCAATGTTTATTACTGTCCTTTGTCCTTCTTTCCTATCTCTTCCTGCCTTCTAAGTGCTATCTCTGAGCAAATGCTGTCCTTTTGGTCTCCGACTGCTGATTGTTCTGAGCAGTGAGTTTCTCCCTGGTGTTATTGCTCACCTTTAAAAGCCTCTCTAATTCCTTGGTTGAAAGTTGAGCATCAGTTCAGTTTCAGGCCTGATGACGTTTAAGGGCTATAGCCTTGGGAGTTCCATCAATATCTATCAGACCAGTAAACCTGGTCCTTTTAATTATTTTGAGATTGGTGCTATTTTCTCTCACTCTAACCAGAACCGCATACTGTGATCACTCCCTTTCAGAGCAGGAGTCGGGCACCATCTAGCCATGGTCCATTAGTCCCTTGGGCTATTTCCTTGTGTCTTTAATTTCCTTCACTCTTCTTTGCTCCACAAAGGGAGAGGCCAACAGCTGCACCTTATACAGCCACTCACAAGCTTTTAAGCTCCCAGCCACTAAAAGCTCACCAAAACAGAATGTAGAACATTGTCTTTGTAGACTGTATTCTGCCAATTAACCTTGATAATCTCCTATGGTTCTGAGCCCCCAGACCTGAGCAATTCTAAGTTTTGAAAGCATTTAGTAAGACCAGCCTCAAATATCACTAAGTCAAACATGGAGCTCCGGTGGCTAAGCACGGCTGCTAACCTAAAGGTTGGAGGGTCAAACCTACCTGCCACGCCACAGGGCAAGCTGTGGCAGTCTGCTCTCCTAGAGATTTCCAGCTTCAGAAACCCCAGAGAGGAGCCCTTCCTCTGCCCTAGAGGGTCACTATCAGGCTGACTTAATTAAAAGGCAGTGGGTAATAAAAGGTAGAACAGAAGGAAAAACAAGAAAATTTGAGTGAATCTCGAGGGTAGGAGAGGAGGGCAAAAAAATAGAAATAAGATAACTAAAAGAGATAGAAATAATTCTAAATAATAATAAATGTAACCTAATTAAACTTATCAGGTGAGATACAATAAATCTACCAAGGTACTATTCATCCAAAACATACTTAAAACATAATTCACACTCTATTCATTTAGTGAACTGAGGGGTTTCTATGTGTAGAGTGCTCTTCTAGACATACGGGAAATAATTGAACAAAACAGGCAAACCCAGCTGCCTTAATGCGCTTACATAACAGTGGTAGGAGGGAGCTGAGGGGGGGAAGGTAGAGAATGAGACTGAACAAGGGGCACACAAGCTACAGTCAAATCTGGGGCTCAACTCTGGCCCGTTGCCTGTTTTGTAAATAAAGTTTTAGTGGAGCACAGCCATGCTCACGCGCTGCCGATGGTTGGTTTTATGCTGTTAATAGCAGAGTTGAAGAGCTGCAACAGAGATCACGTGGCATTTGACATCTTCAAAAAAAGAAAAAGACTACATGGCTCTTTACCAGATCATGCCAACCCTAATTAATCAGCATAAACAGGGATCCGAGTAACATCGGAACCCAGCACCAGCACAGCAGGAAGCCTGCTACAAGGCACAAAGCTACAGCAGCCTGCTGCTGGGGCACTGAGTGGTGCACTGAAAGCATTTGCCAAAGCCAAGCCAGGTCTGCTCACTGCACTACTCAGCCCCATCCACCTCGGGACACAAGATGAGCTGTGCCCATTTCTGGGCCTGAGGACTCTGCCCGTCTCTTCCATTTTTCTCCAAACAATGCCTGGTACCTGATTACAAACTGAAAAAACACACAGGAAGCAAAGAGAAAAACTCAACTCATCAAAAATACACAGAAGCCC